CATGCAGCTAGAAGAAATGTTTCGAAACGGTGCATAAATCTTGCGACAAAGATATTTAACAGCGGTTTCCATGGCCCCAGTTTCGATTGTTTTTTACACCGCATTTCTGAAGGCTTTTGATTTTTGCTTAACATGTGAGTTAGCAGTTTTGCACAGTCGGCTATGTTGATACCAAATAAACATCCAGGTTTTCTTCGATTAAAGTTATGACCGACTTTTACCTGGTTCGGTGGGTAAAATGATCATACGTTCATATAAATACATATATATATATATATATATATATATATATATATATATATATATGTATGTATGATAAAACATACATAGTGAAGCGCTCTGTGCCTGAGGGAAGGGTAGTAGGAAATAGGTTCTTCGCCCTTTCAAGGGAGGACCCCGGACTGGGCAGACGAGCCGGAATCGGCGCTGGTATCTGGATAGCATTCCCATGGAGACCAGGCTGTCTGAGGAGCCCCAAACAGACACCATGGAACAATGTGGAATATCTGGCTGGCTTGTGATCTTTGGAAAGGTCATCTGGTTTGCCGTGCCACATAAAATGCCGAAGAAGGTAAGTTCGGCTCTTTTGATAGCTGTAGGTGTCGTGCTTTTTTGGTTAAAGCGAAATATTCAGTTCCTAAACATTAAGTATGGCTACGACGACAGGGATCAGACGAATCTGTCGTAGGTACTCTGTACGCCTCTATCCTTAATGCTTTTCGTGACCTTAAACTCCAAAACCCTGCGGTCCAATGGTTAAACAATTACATTTCTGCACTGATTTATGTGCCTGAATGACTTTTGTTGGCGCTAGTTCCATTGGTTATTTGACAAAGCGTTAAACTGTCTTAAGGCGCTACGTTTTGAGTTATTTCGGTTTGGTATCAGCTTGGGCTAGATCCTTGGGCGGTTTGCAGGCCGGGGTGTCAGCGAACGGTCGTTGGTAGGCCGGGGTGTCAGCGAACGGTCGTCGGTAGGCCGGGGTGTCAGCGAACGGTCGTCGGTATGCCGGGGTGTCAGCGAACGGTCGTCGGTAGGCCGGGGTGTCAGCGAACGGCTGTCGAAATTTTACGGACCTTCGTGTCACGCCGCTCCGAGTGGACTGGGTCCCGTTCGCTGAAGACTCGCGCTGCTGTCGCTCAGCGCGTCTGACGGGCTCCGCGTACACCGGAGCTGGCCGTCTCGATACCCGCTGCTGTCGCTCAGCGCGTCTGACAGGCTCCGCGTACACCGGAGCTAGCCTTTCGATACCCGCTGCTGTCGCTCAGCGCGTCTGACAGGCTCCGCGTACACCGGAGCTAGCCGTTTCGATACCCGCTGCTGTCGCTCACCGCGTCTGACAGGCTCCGCGAACACCGGAGCTAGCCGTTTCGATACCCGCTGCTTCTCGTTTTACACAGTTCTGAACAATGCGCATGAAAGTGCATAATTCGGTGCCTTGTCTACAGTACCAACGTCCAGCTACATCGCTTCTGAATCGTGAAGAGCTGGCTGACTCGATCTGTCCGTTGCCTGGCTTGGAGATGGCCCATTTACTTTTCATGCTTACTCCACAGTGATAGAAACGACAGCTGTGTGGTTGGCATTAATGCTCTACTTTGTCAATGTGTTTATTTCTGAGACCCCTTTACGAGCCATTCACGCGCACGGAAGCCAGACAGCCGCCACGACAGGAAACGACAAGAAACCACCCTCCCTTATCAACCCGGTAGGCAAAACCTCTAAACGCATCCACACCGATCTGTCCAGCCACACAAATCCATCGAGGATGACCACAGCTCGACTATTGGCCTGACGGTCACGCACAGGCGCATCTTTGTCAAGACGCAGACGGATGGACGCTGGTTTGAATATCACAGTACAATTTGGGGGCAGTCCATCGGCGATGGCACTCAAAACTCACTACAAAATGTAACTTGCGCGTGCTAAAAAATACGCGATTCTTATAGGTGAGAATAAAGGATCACTTGGCTCTGATTGGACAAGCAAGAGTGCTGCAGCATTCCCTACTCGGAGAGTCCTGCACCTTATACACCAATGGAGGTTTGTTGTATATGTGCATGGTGCAGACCGTAGTATATTCGAAACATTGTATATGCATCTAAAGTAGTGTCACAAGACAATACTTTAACAAAAGACATAAGACATAAGACAGACATAAGACATAAAACAATATGAGCTGATATTTTCATGACTGCACTGCACTGGGTCTCTGTAAATACATTTGCATGCCTTGCATTATCTTTTGCTAGCGTTTTACTAACACTCCCGGGCATGCTGCCTGCTCGCCAGATGCCTTCTTTTTAAGGTCGCGCACCCAGCACAAATACTCCCGTGGTAACGTCAACAGCAGCTTGAGCTAAGCGAGTGCTAAAGCAGTAACAGCAGACCAGCGGTTCCCTGCGCAGCGGCACGAGCCAAATGGTGCGTCGGCTCACCGGTGTGGGTGGCGGTGAGGCGGGCCGGCCGCCGAACCCGCTCCGTCGGTCGGTCGGCGCTCTCCCGGCCGGACGGGTCTCAGACTGGGGCGGCGCGCCGACCTGGCCGCTCCGCAGCAGCCTCCGACTGGACGCGTCTGCGGTGGGCGGCGGCGCCAGCGGGACGGCCGGCGCACGCACCGAGCCGGCGCCGACCGCCGAGCGCCGCAGCCGCCACCGGACGCCGGCGGACCGGGCCGGCCCGCGCGCCTCTGGACCGGCCCGGGCAACAGCGGCCCTGCAGAAGCCGGCAAAGGACGGAACTCCACCATATTGGGGCTCATGGCGACCAACTTTGTCTCTTATTCGAGGAGTGTGCCTTTCGCTGTAGCAGCAGCGCAAAAACATCTCATCGACGACAACATATCGTAGGGTTGGTAATACCACTACGCCCACAGGTAATGATAACTACAGGATGATAACTTCCACTTGTATCTATTGCCCTGCTTTGTCACCGTTAAAGGGCTGTCATTTTATCTCCCTGTGGTGTTAGTGAAGCACTATCGCGCGTTTTTATGACGATTGCCTCGTGGGCATCAATAACCCTGACCAGCGCTCAGCGCAGCACGTAGGCACGTGGCATTAGTTTCAAATGAGACTATAGCATGTAACGGATAAAACAAGCATGCATGTCCTCACTGACGCGATGGTTGTGAAAACGCGCATCGATTCATATTTGTCTTAGATTCGGTGTTGGCGCGTGGTGACGGATGCAAGGCTTCGCAACGGGGACAACGCTCAGACTTTTGCGCTAAAAATAATTTTAATGCGCCGCAGACGGGAGGATTCCGTAGGACGGCGTAAACTATGACATGTTTTCGATCTACTTATAAAAAATGCAAGCAGATTTTAAACGTGTCGGATGAAAAGCCGTTCACCATACCTCTTTTTAACGGTCGACCCAAATGGGTACTGCATGACCGCGCAGCCGAGGCGCCCGGATGCTCTAATGCCTGCTGCAGCAGTTGATCCCAGCCGAGCCAGCCCGGAGCCAAGCCTTAGCATAGCCAGGGTATCGTTTGGCCAAGCTATAGCCAGCCGACAACCAGGTTTATTGGAGCCGGGATCGACTGGGTTCATTGAGCCTGTTACAAACGTCTTTCGTATGCAGATTCCAAAGGAGAAGAGCTCCATTGTCTCATGATTACAAGTTATAGTTCCAAGACTACATCCATCCTCTAGATGATGACTGCAGTTTGTGCGATGCATAAGGACAACGTCAGAGTCGTGACATCATGCTCATGGAACAGAGTCCAGATCTGTGTGCTGCAGAGCGATCGATGGCTATCGAGAATCAGCAAACCTTTTGTTGGCGACAGACGCACCAGAAAGGATCGTTGACAGCTGGAGCCAATCCAGGAAGCGTCCCCCCCGTTGACCAGCCGTTGTCCGATGCAGCCGTTTGGGGGCTCGGTCTCGCGCTATATCGAACTGACGGACAGAGCTGCTTTCTCCCGAACGTGAAGACCACAGTCGTGAAATCGCCTCGAAAGTCCTGAATGGCAACGTCCGGTCCTGGCCTCGCGTTGCAGGCCGGAACCTGCACCTTCGGAAACGGCTTCATACTGATGACATCAGCCGGTGTCTCCGAGGGCGTGGTGACGCCTGATTCAGCGGCTCAGCTATCCCTCAATAGTGGGGGCTTGGGAAGCAGGGATCGCGCGGCAGTGGCACAATCAGCTGGTGTCGTGGTTGCACGCTCTCCAGTACTGAGCAGCCCTGCACCCCCGGCGGGAGCAACCCTGCACCCCCGGCGGCACGTCCCGACACCGCTCCTGCTCCGGACGGGCGGGCGGGGTGGTCCTCGGGCGGTCAGGTGGTGACAGGTCCAGGTCGTGCGCACCTGCACCCCGGCGGCGGCGAGGCCGGGCGCCATGCCGAACCCGTCCAGGCTGCACTGGGCGATGACGAACATGGTCGCCATTCATCTGGTGAAGTCGATGGCGGCACTCGTCGGCAGTGAGTCGCTGCTGACAGGCCCGTACTAGCGGGGAGGCGAGCTGCACCAAAGCTCGGATCACGACCAACAGCACCAGGCCAAGTCCCGAAGTATTTGTCCAGCTCTTTGCCCACAGTCTCTTCCAGGCTCCGTTCGAGCGCGTGCGTCGCCAGGCGCGTCTCCAAAGCCATAGGTCTCTTCCAGGCTCCGTTCGAGCGCGTGCGTCGCGAGGCGCGTCTCCAGATTTACGCGTCGTTGCTTCTTCGGCCCGGAGTCTTGAGTTTAACGGTGTTGGTTATGCGTCGCTGCGGCACTGCAGCGCCGAAAGCCAATACAACGGATAGATGCGCCATTTTGAAACATCCCTGAATATTCGTGCCTTACCGCGCAGGGTAACGGCACAGGAACAGTTACAAATCGTTGTGCTGTCGCTGGCTGCCATGGCAACAGCGACGACTGCCTGTTCCCCTTAATTGTGAGAAGGCCGAAAGAGATAGGTTATTTATTAGAGGATTTTTGCTTTCCTTTGCTACTCGAACAGCTATAATTGTCTTCTCATTGGAACGAATTTTTGTCTCCTCTAATGTCTAATTGCATGCTATTGTAAAAACCTTATATATAAATCAGCATCAATTGTTAGAACGCCTTACATTGTACAAGCGCGAAATTATGTATATTTATAATGCATACGGCACCCGCCTCTGTGTCATATAAACGGTTCACACGAAGACCCAAGCTGTCGCACCTTGTCTGTTGCATTCTATCAAGATGACCGGCGTTGTCGCACCCTACTTCACAACGCGCACATTGTGTCCATTGGACTGACGACTCAACGTCGCCTGGAATGGACGCCGGACTCAGCGCCGCCTGGTCCGCGGTGTCCACCTCTCATGTCTGCTGACGGCATGTCAGTAAAATACACGTGGCACGCGTCGTGGCGCGCCCTCTTATGGGACGCCAGAAATTAAGGTGACCAAATTAACGTGTAGGGGTCATGGCACCACCGGGATTCGAACTGGAGCTCCCCACGCGGGAGCTAAGGCACCCGCTGCCTGGCTTCTTGCTCCCCTGCCCGACATCATTTGGTAGCCACACCCGTCAGGCAGCGATTCATCAGGTGCAGCGGACTGCAGAGGCTCAGATGCTCGACAATCGGCTGCAGGCGCTGCTCCACGGACCTGAAGTGGCCGGCTTCAATGACCTGGGGACGACAGGTTCTGTCAGCTCCTCTCCTCCGTGGTCGCCGTGGACGTGAGCCGTCTCGGCGACCGGCCAGATTAGCAAATACGGGCTCTGAACGCACATGCCTCCTGACGTGGGGTGGAAGCTTCAGGGGGAAGCAATCTGACCGTTGAATTCAGACCTGTGATCGTCCATGGAAAAACCAAACCAAATACCCGTGCCGCCTCAATGCTACAAACAACGTCCGATGGCCGCGCGTCCAAGCCGGATCAGGTTTAAGGCGGACGATTTCCGTCAGTGGGTTTCAGTCCAGGCACTACTTCCTCGTCACTTCACAGCAGCACGCTGGCCGCTGACCGGGCGCGCCACTCCAGGAGGCACTGCTTGGAGGTCGGCACGCAGACAACTGAAAACCAATCTGTAAAGAAATATGTTCTGGTTGAATGTAAGCGCCTTGGCTCGAATAAACTGACCGGGGAGTTTTCTGTCCTCCGATGAGAGTGGTACGTGTGCTCCACCCCATCAGAGTCTGGCCCCTGGCACGTGTGCTCCACCTCACCAGAGTGGCTCTTGGCACATGTGCTCCACCTAATCAGGGTCTGGTTCCTGACACGTGTGCTCCACTCCATCAGAGTCTGGCCCCTGGCACGTGTGCCCCACCTTACCAGAGGGGCTCTTGGCACATGTGTTCCACCTACTCAGAGTCTGGCTCCTGGCACGTCTGTTCAACCTCACCAGAATCTGGCTCCTGGCACGTCTGTTCCACCTCACCAGAATCTGGCTTCTGGCACGATATGCTGTTCGGGCCCCCTGCCGATCATCCGCTAATAAGCTCAGACTGGGCTCGATGGAGAACTTCGCGCGTCGTGGTGTTGACATAGTGCCCCGCATAGCCGCGCTACAAACGATCGGATCTGAATGCTACAAACGATCAGATCTGAGTGCTACAAACGATCAGACCTAGATGCTACAAACGATCAGATCTGAATCAAGTTTCGCGAGAAATGTCGCAAAGTTGGCTGGCCTAAAAGCCGCGTTCAATAGAGGCTGTAAAGTAAAATAGCCAACTGCTGCGTGAAGGCTTTTAGATATGCTCCGACCTCATTTGCTACGAGTCTGCCCTCGCCTAAGCGTGTTCATCTTGGCTGGAGAATGTGCAGCCATCTGTCAGCTCATTGGGGTATCAGCCAGTCGTTTGGGCTGATCTAAGCCTATGGCATAGCCTTCAACCACATCGAGCCTTAGCGAAGATCTGCGAAAATTGGGTAGGTTTCACCTAAGGGTTCGGTGCAACCACATACTGACTAAACCATGTAAAGCTAGCTCTGGCCGGAAGAACTTTACAGATACCTACGACGACGTTCAGACGTATGCATTCTGACGTTACAGATACCTACGACGACGTTCAGACGTATGCGTTCTGACGTTACCTCGGAAGATTCCATAACGATGACAGACGGAGCATGTGACGCATTGTACGCGACACGGAACTAATATTCGGAGCCCTTACTGACAGAAGGTAGTTGATGAATTGCAGATGGACGTGCTGTCGCAAGGAGCTGTGCAGGCACCTGTACAGACTTATTTACGTGACGTTTTCCAGACAGACTCCTACCACTTGGCAGACTGGTTTGGGCGTGGCAATGCGGGGTGCGGTATGGGACTGCGCGCGGCCCTATCGTTGAGGCGACAGGTGGCGCGCGCCAGGCGACGAGTCGCTCACCTTCCGGGGGTCCCTGTTGAGCCAGCACTGCATCACACACGGCCACACACCACTGTGGGTCAGCGCATCTTGTATCCGCCTCTGGAATGTGTTCTCTGGAAATCCGATGTGCTCCAGGTAGATAAACTTGCCGCCCTGAGCACAATACAGATGGCTCATGAATAAACGTGTCCTTTCAGAGATAAGGTGTGCTGATAATTCTTGTTTTGCCATTTGGTAGCCGTAAAATAGTTTAGAACACTTTCTTAGCCATTTCCTGCCTTTCTTTTCGTTATGAGTTTGCTTTTGGCGCTGCGTCAATTCCTCATTGCCTTTGCTTTGACGCGGACTCTGCGGGAGGCGAGCGTGTGGTAGTGGTGCTAACAGCTGTAACGGCGTTTCACGCTTAAGTGTTACTTTCTAACATAAGGTAGCAGGACAGAAGATAGATGCAGCATCTACGCTGTCCGTGGTTGGCTACAGTTAAGCTGCCTCTGTCTGAGAGTAATGACTATACCATCCTGTCTGTGAAAACTGACATCGAAAGATAGTTTTCAAAAGGCCGTATTCCAATGGTCCGCGCCCGGCCTCACAGCCAACACGCCTGCAACGGCTGAGCGAGGTCCTCAAGAGCCACTGGATCACGTATCAGTCAACCCAGGCTGTACGAGATCGAAGGGCACCTCCTCATTTAGCCTCAAATATCAGTGAGAGCCGGGTGCCGACCAACGTTGACAATATCAGTGCTTATAGTAGTTGCTTACTTGGCCCCAACTGATGTTCGCTCGCCTTAAAGGGGTATAATGTGCTGCCACGCGGAGCTTTTACGCGAAGGACTTTGACGAAAGACAGACGAAAGTGCAACTTCTGGTTGTACGAGCCCATCTAACTAAAAAGCCCAGCTGAGCAGATGAAACGAAGTAAGGTCGGGTCCTCTCATATCAGTTTGCCGCAGTCCAACTAAATAATGTCCAGAGGAAACATACGCCACATACGCCCCCCCCCCCCACAAAAAAACTGAAGTACAGCTCTCAAATCGCAGCGATATTGTCTGACTAAAATATTGTGAACGCCATAGAAGTCTTGTAGCTCAGGCCATGGATAACAATCACAAGTCATGACAGTCTATGCCGTTGCAGTAGAAACAGATATTGATGACACTGAATACTTTTTAGGACATGATAAATTTAAATCGCTCTAGTTCAGTAATCTGACGGGTCCTGAAGGCAACATATTCAAAGTCATGTCAAAAGAGTATGGACAAAAGACATTAATTCCTACGGGTTTACGTCTCATCACGTAGCTCTTGACACAACATAATGGGGGGAGGTGGGGAGAGCTCAATAATGCAACGCGTTTGAGTTAGCCAATGCAGTTCCATCCGGGTAGCGAAAATGCAGGCCGTCATGACAATTGCATGAAGGAAGTCGCGCTGCGTGCAGTACGAGCCTGACTGTAAGACACGAGCCGGGCGATTAAGTCACGCAGGCAGTCGAACGGCGCCCAGATCCCCGCCTGAGCCGCGGCTGCTGCCAGCCGTTGGCAGGAGCGCTGTCTCACCGGCCTGAGCACGCGCTGGACCTCGTGCACCACCTTGCTGGGATCCCGCACGCTGCAGAGGACCAGGGTGAGTACCACAGCATCCACCGATCCGTCCTTCACGGCCGTCATATCCTCGCCATGACCGACAACAAACCGGATGTCCGGGTGGAGGTGGGCAGCATGCTCGACGCACGTTCGCCGGAAGTAGTCTTGAAAATGGATGTTGGGATCGACACAGGTCAGCACAGAGCCAGCCGGGTAGTGCTGCAGGTTCGTGCCGCAGCCGACGCCAATCTGAGATGATACACAAGCTACGTTGTGATTGCTGCAGACCTGGCAACGAGGTCTGTAACTGCGCGGAACATCGGTGGTAAACATCTTTCAGCACGCGTGTCTGGTTGAGGGCTGCTGGGCGGGTCTACAGCGAGGTGGAAGACAGTCGTATACCGATGATGCACTGGTCCTTGCGGCACATCCGGACGCCGGCACCGCTCCCCGGCACATCTCACCTCCAGGATGTCCAGACTGCCTCCCTTGAGGTTCGGTCCCGCCGACTGCATCTGCTTCATCTCTTCAAAGAGCTCGGCCTTGATGGCAGCGAGCTGCTGCTCCTGCTGTGTCTTGAACCGGTTCATGGCCCAGGCCATCAGGCGGGCGCGCAGGGCGTCGACGCCGTCGGGGCCGAGCGCCACCCGGAGCGTCATGACCAGGAGCAGCAGCCAGCCCAGCAGGCAGGCCGTCCAGTTCAGCAGGCAGGCCGCCCAGCCCAGTAGGCAGGCCGTCCAGCCCAGCACACTCGGCAGCATGGCTGCCGGACGGCACACACAGCGTCACACAGTGCACGGCACACTTCAGCTGGATGCTCGCACACTGGGAACGGTTGCTGCTCGCACGGCTGCTGCTGGTACTGGGAAGTTTGAAGTGCACATCTGCGGTCTCCTCGTCAGCACGGGACGCCGTATGAGGCACGCGACGGTCAAGACGATAACGGAGGGGGCAGGTATCAGCCGTCGTCATGTAGATAAGTTCCCAAAGCTGCCACTTTGGCGCCCCATACCAATGGGTTTGATCCATGCCTTGGAAAGCTCGCTCTTCTTAAGAGAGCAGCAGGCGTGGGCTAATGGGGTAGTATTTGCACGCCATTTGACATGTGACATTGACGGGGCATTCATTGCCTGTGTGTCCGGGCTCGGCCGGGGCTAGGTAACTTGGCCGACGTAACCCATCAGTCTGCGGTGGTGCACAACGTGTGGGGGCTGGGACCGAAGCCTTGCAAGAGTAGATACATTTCTAATTAACATTGGTCACAACTGACAGCGCCACGTGCCCGCACAGGTCACTTGGTCGATCCCTCTCGGTTCGGGCCATGCAATATTGTGTTCAGCATCAGCCTTGCAGGAGGCGTCATTGGCCGCTTGCCGGTCCAGCACCAGCGCGACTACGGGTCGGTCTTTAAATATGCAAGCAAGGCTGACATTAGGTTTGATATCTGGTAAATGGATTGTATCCCCGATCCCCCACAGCATGGTTTGGACGACAGCAATCTTACATGCATTAAACGCGAAAGTACAAACACATCGACGTTACGCTCGGTGATAAAATGGCGAAGTATGTTTATCTCAATCACAGGTAAATGACTAGGTGAATTATAAAGGTCAGGACGCTGACGGCGGAAGGCGGGCGGACGGCTGGTGGCAGCGAAATCACAGGTAAATGACTAGGTGAATTATAAAGGTCAGGACGCTGACGGCGGAAGGCGGGCGGACGGCTGGTGGCAGCGAAATCACAGGTAAATGACTAGGTGAATTATAAAGGTCAGGACGCTGACGGCGGAAGGCGGGCGAACGGCTGGTGGCAGCGAAATCCACGTGCCAGTCGCTCGGGACAAAATAATCCCTCGCGCGAACGAGGTACGCTCTCGCGGGAGCTGCAACACACCGTCAGCTGTGGTCTGAGGGGGACGCACGGACACCAAGGCAGGGCCGACCACCCGTTAGTGGAACGCCTCGGGCGCCCGAGTGTCCGACATCATGTTTGGCATCGTCACCATGCCTCGTTCGCTGATCATATCAGGTATTTTAGGCTGACCTAACTCAGGTAGTCCCGGAGACACACGATCAGGATTAACCGATCCCGTTTAGGATGGTGTGGGCACCAATGTCAATCAATGTATCTGGTAGCCAATACAATGTTCTTCACAAGGCACTTAGATCTTCACCTTCAGTTCACTCGGTTCCTGCATGATCTGACACCTATCTCCAATCCGGCAACGCCAGAGGTTACTCGCACGAAGACGCTCGAAACTGTCAGGAAGAGATCAACAATTTCCTAATGGCCGCTAGTCCATTTAAGACATTTTCGCGCTTTATGCAGGTAGCATTATTTTTTTTTTTTGCGGGGGACGTTTGGCGTGACGCCGCGTTTGGTAAGCTGACCAATGCAATACAAGTTTAAAGCCTATTTAATACAAGGAATACTTTTGCATCAGTGAGGGTCCCTGCGTTGATTCGTCGATCCGGATCCAACTGCACCGGCCAGAGGCATCAGTGAGGGTCCCGGCGTCGATCTGGATTCAACTTCCGCAGCCAGAGGGTACCCACGACAGTAAGGAGACTGATGAGTCCAGATCGACCAGAGGATCCCACGGGGCCTCCGGATCTACCCCGGATCTACCAGGATCCGCGTCTCGTGACGCCATATTGTCCGTGTCGCCAGGACGACAGCTGGTAGGTGTACCTCGGGCTGTGACGGAGGAGTCACTCCGCCGTGACCGGCAAAGGTAACGTGCCACCTAGTGTCCTATCCACGAAGGTACCCCGGGCTGTGACGGAGGAGCCACTCAGCCGTGACCGGCAAAGGTAACGTGCCACCCACGTGTCCTATCCACGAAGCCAAACTTTCTGGAAAAGGTAAGGAAAGGGAAACATATTTTGAACACTACGGGGCCTCCTTGGTTTTCGTCATTTTAGCAAGGATTTCATTTAAACATAGTGTCATGCGTTTAAACGTGTCCTCCGTCAAACACCTTCCAGGGAAGACGGGCGGCCGACTCATTCAACGCGACAACTCTCCACCCCATCACGCCGCTGTTGCGGCGGACACTCTAGCTGACGGCGGCATCGAGTTGGTGAGGCACCCTCCGTACTGCCCGCGCCTGGGGCCAAACTGACTTCTGGTTGATCCCTAACATAAGGGTTCCCCTCGCGGGCGCCGCCTCCCGTCGCGGTGGGCGCTGAAGTCGGCCATATTACGGTATGTTAAGCCTGCTTGGTTGATCCTAACATAAGGGCTCCCCTCGCGGGGCGCCGCCTCCCGTCGCGGTGGGCGCTGAAGTCGGCCATATTACGGTATGTTAAGCCTGCTTGGTTTGATCCCTAACAAAGGGCTCCCCTCGCGGGCGCCGCCTCCCGTCGCGGTGGGCGCTGAAGTCGGTCATATACGGTATGTTAAGCCTGCTTGTTGATCCCTAACATAAGGATTCCCCTCGCGGGGGGCGCCGCCTCCCGTCGCGGTGGGCGCTGAAGTCGGTCATATTACGGTTTGTTAAGCCTGCTCCCAATCATCGCTTTGGCGAAGCGATGACAAACCTCTTGCGGTTGCAGGCCGATGGTGGCGCTGCGTTAAAAAGCACGAAGATCACGAGGAAAAAATGAGCCAACGGGAATGCCTGTCTGTCAATAAATGTGCTGACTGCGGATAAACGGAATGTACATTTGAAAAGCACTGGATATTTACGGGATGGATTCATGCATTCTGTCATGCTTTCCTCATGGTTTCTGATTCCATGTCTTCTCAAGACGTCTTTAGACACGACTCACAGTTGTGCTGCGTTTACACGTGCATCTGTCATCCTCAGCACGTGCGCTGTAGTAAGTAAAGCAAAGCAATCACGTAGGTATGTTCTCGAAGCATCTGAAATGCAAATCTTGAAAGATACATTCGCAGCACCGATATCCAAAAATCGGTTTTCGTTTGATCGCGAAAGGTGATGGGCTTAGCTGCATGCAATAACTTCGACGCGCGAAACCCTTTCTTGGCTGGAATTTCAGCGTTTTGCACCTTAAAGTAGCCAAAAGATATAATGCTGTAATTGTTACAGCACCCATTCTACATCAAGCGGAACGAGGCGACATGTTTCCGCCGCATCGCCGCAGCCTGGACACGGTCTAAATGATAGCCGGGCGAAGCTCAAAAACCGCCGCTTAATGGTAACTGCACGCTCCGGACCGGCTTCCCAGCTTACTCAATGGTAACTGCACGCTCCAGACCGGCTTCCCAGCTTACTCAATGGTAACTGCACGCTCCAGACCGGCTTCCCAGCTTACTCAATGGTAACTGCACGCTCCGGACCGGCTTCCCAGTTTACATCTCCAATGCAAGCTCGACGGGTGCGGTGGTGCATAAAAACCATTAATGCTAGGAACATCAGCTACCTCTGCCAACTATGGAACCACTATCAATATTTTGCCTCCTCTCCCCCTTCCACTCTTTCCTGCTCCTCTAACTTCCCCTCCCCTCTCTCTACAAGCTGTTCATCACCCTCACTGCCCACTCTCACTCTCACCCTTACCCTCACTCTTCACCCCAAGTCTCAGTCTCACTCTCACTCTAAGTTTAACTTCGCAATGACATACCCCGCTCTCGCTTGCATACTTCTCTCTCCTTCTCATCTCTCTCTCTCTCTCTCTACTATTCTCTCTCTCTCTCTTCTATATTCCTCTTATCTCTCTCCTCTCACTCTCTCTCTCTTATCTCTCTCTGTCTCCCCTGTCTCCTACTCTCCTATCCTTTCTCTCTCTCTATCGTGCTATCTCTTCCCTCTCTCTTGTCTTCCATCTCTCTCTGTCTCCATCTCTCTATTTCATCTGTTCCCTCTTCCCTTTCTCCCTCTGTCTTTCTCTCTCTCCCTCGTCTTCTTTCCTCCATACCTCTATCTCTCTCTCTCTCTATCTCATCTCTCTTTTTCTCTCCCACCCGCCTGTTTTCTTTTTCTGTTCGCTTCCCTCACTGCTCTCTCCTTTCCTCACCTTCCTTCTTCTCCTCCTATTCTCTGTTCTGTTCCTTCTTCCCTTCTTCTCACCTCGCTAGCAACGCTATCACTAGTTCCACTTGATCTCTCTTGCTCGGCTTAACACTTCCTCTTTCCTTCAATGTTCTTGTTGTTCTCTGTCTTCTCTTTTTTCTCGTTCTTTATCTGAATGAGGACATGCCTACATGCACAGCATTTCTTTATGTGGAATCTTGGAAAAACACTCCGTTGAGTGGAATTACGGCCAAGTTAAGCTGTCTCCGAACAGAGGCTTGCGGCTGAAAGGCACTGCGCGCAGCTAATCCGATCAAGGGCGCCACAGCACCGCACTGCACGCTGATCCACCGCGCGCGCGCCGCACCCCAGGGACGGACAGCTCACCCGCTCAATCGATCGGCTGGGGACCGGACGGCGGCCCGCCTCGGACAACGGCACACTGGCGCTATCACCTGAGCCGGCCAAGGTTCAGCCCGCCGGCAGGGGCGCAGTCAGGCATGGCGGCCGGGGGGCCGCGGCGGACGGCGAGCTGGGACACGCCTCCACAGGGCCGGCCGCGGCGGACGGTGGGCTGGGACACGCCTCCACAGGGCCAGCCGCGGTGGACGGTGGGCTGGGACACGCCTCCACAGGGCCAGCTGCGCCTCGTCCCAGACAGCCCGCCGTGCAGCTCACAAAGAGGCCCGCAGCCTGTATACTGGCACCGCTGACATGGTATGCAGGGCCGCACTGTGCATAGCAGAAGGGAGGGTCGGAGGGGAGGGGGGGGGGGGGCACTCGGCGCGGTATACGCGGGCGCGCTAATCGCAGTATGTAAGGGGCACTTTTATCGCGATGGGACTGGACGCGCTCAAGCAAGCCTCAAGTCTTCGTGGACAATTACCAGAGCAAACAGGGCAGTAGCCGGGCAAGGCATGCATGAGTGCGTTCAGCAGAGTATGCAGCGGAGCGGCACGGCACTTTAAGTGACATACAGAAGCGTTGTCAGACATGGTATACAACGGAGCGACACAGCAATTGGAGTGGCTTACAGCAGCCCTGTCAGACGTGGTATACCGGGGCGCAGCCAGGCACCCATTCAAGCCAATGCGAGACAGTCAACTTCGTGTGTATGTACTTATATCTCCCTTCTCCCCCCCCCCCGCCCTATCTCTGTAGCTTTCTTTCTTGGTCTCAGTCTCAGTCTTAGTTTCAGTCTTAGTCTCAGTGTTGCCTCCGCTCCTGCCTACTCACTGTTCCTCTGTCCCAGCCGCTGACCGCTGGCGTCGAGGGTGCGGCGCCAGGACATTCGGCATGACTGGCCGGCGCCTTACTCTGAGCCGCGCACGCATCGACTCCAGTCACCAGTTGGTGTGGTTGTGGGTGCAGTTCTTAAGACACCTCTTGTCGTTTAAATACGATACCAAATAAGAAACTTAACTCTCGTGGTTCACCTGGTATACAGGAGCAGGCGTGCGACACATTTTGTCGGTGCATATATGTTAACCTCTTGATACTGATCCTGGCTGCCCCAGAGCCACATGCAGCGCACTATGGGCCAAGCCGATAACCCAGCCGCGGCCGCCGCCTCTGACGGCCTGGCGCCGGCTGAGCTTGCAGTCGGACCGCGCCCACCGTCTGCATCAGGCCGCGGCCTAAGCTGCTGGCTAAGCTGCATGGCCTCTCCCGATAACTCGGTGGGTTAGAGCGTCTGACTTCCGATTCCCGTCGGTCTTCCGAGTCTGCGGCCGGTAGTGGACGATCACGATAAAGGTCAGATGACGTTTGAGGATAGGACGGACCGTGACGAACATTGTGACACGTTCATCTTCGCTCCCAAAATATGCCGCTCACCCGAAGGTTCGCTATCGTCGGCGGGAGACCAGGCTATCGGTCAGAGGAGACCGGGCTATCGGTCGGAGGAGACCGGGCTATCGGTCAGAGGAGACCGGGCTATCGGTCGGAGGAGGACCGGGCTATCGGTCGGAGGAGACCGGGCTATCAGTCGGAGGAGACCAGGCTATCGGTCGGAGGAGACCGGGCTATCGGTCGGAGGAGACCAGGCTATCGGTCGGAGGAGACCAGGCTATCGGTCGGCGGAGACCAGGCTATCGGTCAGGAGACCGAGTTATCGGTCGGAGGAGACCGGGCTATCGGTCGGAGGAGACCGGGCTATCGGTCGGAGGAGACCGGGCTATCGGTCGGAGGAGACCGGGCCATCGGTCGGCGGAGACCAGGCTATCGGTCAGAGGAGACCGGGCTCTCGGTCGGAGGAGACCGGGCTATCGGTCGGAGGAGACCGGGCTATCAGTCGGAGGAGACCAGGCTATCGGTCGGAGGAGACCGGGCTATCGGTCGGAGGAGACCAGGCTATCGGAGACCAGGCTATCGGTCGGAGGAGACCGGGCTATCGGTCGGAGGAGACCAGGCTATCGGTCGGAGAAGACCGGACTATCGGTCGGAGGAGACCAGGCTATCGGTCAGAGGAGACCGGGCCATCGGTCGGAGGAGACCAGGCTATCGGTCGGAGGAGACCGGGCTATCGGTCGGAGGAGACCGGGCTATCGGTCAGAGGAGACCGGGCTATCGGTCGAAGGGGACCGGGCTATCAGTCGGAGGAGACCAGGCTATCGGTCGGAGGAGACCGGGCTATCGGTCGGAGGAGACCGGGCTCACGCAACAAACGCTGCTCAGGGTGGACGCTGATTCCAAAAATGAATTCAATCAAAAAGCTCGGATAAGGCCGTAAAACTGATAAGCATCGGGTGGGGGGGGGGGGGGGGCTGCAAACCCGGCGGCTGGCTGCATGACAAATGAACAGTGCAGTCACCACTTCCCCGATGCGTACACAGATCGGACGGATTGGGACGACGACCAGCTGTACCCGGTGTCTGGCACCGCGTTCCTAACGCCAGGGCTCAGCGGGTGGAACAGCGCCGTCGGAGCACAGCCCACTCAGCAGTGGGCTGTGCTCTAATCACCCCTACTATCGTTGTGCTGTATCTGCCATGGCAACGTCACAGTCTGTTGTTAGGCCGAGGGCGTCGAGCCTTTGTTCCATTACGTATGCACTATACCAGAGTGCCGCCGCCGGGTGGTCCGCACTGGCCGGCAGTGGAGAGCAGAAGACCTGACCTGAGACTCTCGGCACGAGCTGACACTCTCGGAACCCCCGCGGGAGGGTTCCGCGGGACCTGACCTGAGACTCTCGGCACGAGCTGACACTCTCGGAACCCCCGCGGGAGGGTTCCGCGGGACCTGACCTGAGACTCTCGGCACGAGCTGACACTCTCGGAACCCCCGCGGGAGGATAGCTGCACACAGGGCAGCAGCATATGTGCCGATACTAATGCATTCACTTGTCCCTGACGAAATCTTTTGGTTCCCTACGACCACAGGTTGCCGAATGCCCAGCCCACAGCATATACAGATATAAGTACAGACTTATGCTAAGGCTATCCGCCAATGACCTGCGGCCATTACACCTGCCCTTGTCGCAGAACACACCAGCAAAATACACCCAGCCGCAGAACACACCAGCAAAATACACCCACCGCAGTCACTCTGTAGCATACAACTCCAAATCACCCGCTATTCAGCACGGTGAGAAAGAGCCCACGTCAGTCCGGCGCAGACGCCTCACCGGGCCCGTGTCGCCTCATCGGAGAGGTGTCCGCTCATCGGAGCGGCGCCTCATGTAGCGACAAAACAGGGGCGCAGGAAGCCACGGCAGCTCAGGCGGCAGCCAGTTGTATCGCTCAGGCGGCAGCCAGATGTACATCTCAGGCGGCAGTCAGATGTGCAGCTCAGGCGGCAGCCAGATGTACAGCTCAGGCGGCAGCCAGATGTATAGCTCAGGAGGCAGCCAGATATACAGCTCAGGCGGCAGCCAGCTGTACAGCTCAGGCGGCAGCCAGATGTACAGCATTTCGGATGCCGACAGCGGAATAGCCTCCCACCCATCTGTTGCGGCAACTGTCGGAACTCCCCTACATCTGTTGGAAAAGTTGGCCAAGGCGCTAAACTGAGCAAGGAACATGACCAACAAACTGGGACTAGGCTTACAAGCGTAAGAACGGGTGCCTTGACACTAAGTAAAGTGCCGTTGCCAGCGTCAGGCGTTGCCATTTCTGACGGTGACGCGCCGTTGCAACCTTGGCATTGCACCAGGCCAACCCACCGTGCGGGAAGCGGCGATAGTCACGACACTGTGGACAGTGGCGAGTCCAAGAAATCGCCAAGGGGCGACGTTCAAATTGATGGGGTATCTGGCCCGGTGGCGGGTTATGCTGCTCCACCTGGCTACACCTGTCTTACTAGAAAATAAGAACGAGATTTCAGGCACCTTATCTGCGAAAAACCCTTTCGCTTCAAAATCATACGGAAATGGTGAGAATATTAAGGGAATTTTTTTCACTGCAAACAAGAAAGGTATGACCCACCAGCAGTTGCCCACATCACTTGCTGTCGGTAGCAATCGATTCATATTTGATATGCGGGCAATATAAGACGCACACACGTGATCGCGCGAGTATTTGTCCATGCGATTCAATAATGCCCGGTGTCATGTCATCAAGCGCTGTATGACATGTTGCTTGAAAACTTTGCCATAAAAACAGCTAGTATCTGCGGTGTGTATGACACAGCTGCTTGTGTCCCGCTCAAACTGGGTGTTAATTTAAACTTAGAGCCAAATTAAAGGTTTGGGCAACATGGCCAAATTACTCATGACTGATTTGTTTGCCAGACGGCATTAGACATGGGGTAGCACACATGCAAACAAGCCAACACAAATGTCAGCATGTTCACTGTGCCACTGTGCGTAACATCAGCTTGTTTTAGCAGAACATGACTGTCGAGGCTGTAGCCAAAGGTGATGAGCACCTAGCCTGTTAGGTTGCGCAAAACAACGCGATTTTCGCGCAGCCCGACATTACGCCCGTGGCCATGATAGCGGACAGAAGGTGGCGCGGGAACAGGCGGCGGACAGCGTTCAGTTAGGAAACGAGCCTTATGTAACATTCGTGCCTTGGTATTCCAGAGCTGCACTGGGAGGCGTGGGAAGCACTGGGAGGCCTTCCCTGACATGATCACGTGGACAGGACAAACCACTGAGCCGTGAGTGACGGAACACATCAGACTGCGCTGAAGGATGCGCCCGACATCAGCCCATGACAGCCTGACTTCCCATGCTGCTCCCAGATCAGCGAAAAGCGCGTGAAGCGCGTCACGGAGGCGTCACGATTCGTGTTCGGTGAGGAGCAACTCAACACTGGCACCGTCTCGCACCAGGCAGCATGCGAAACCAACAGGCCCATTGCTGGAGGAGCTTCCTGTCGGACAAACTCGTGCGTTGTTTGGGTACCGAAACATCCGGAAACCAGTCGTGGTCAACGCGACCGTGAGTGTATCACGGGAGACAGCGAGGGCAAAACTGCTT